TGTGCTGCAGAACAGGAACCTGCTGTAAAACAGCAATTATGCTGAGTCAGGCTTGATTTTTAATCTTTTCCTGTTAAATAAACAAATCAAATCAAATCAAATCCAAGCTTTAACAATAGACTTAACCAAAGTAAAACCATTCCATTGTGTCTGCAGTGAAAATTTTCTAAGCGTGGACTCTTGAACACGTAAATAAATATAAATTTATTATTATTAGTTAAGTCATAATTATTCAACTAGCTAAAAGGTCTAAGTTGTTAAATGACTTCAAACAGATAGACGTTACTTATAAACAATATATTTTCCTTATATATTTTCTGCTGYCTGATTGTTGAGAGAAATTGCTGTTAATAAAAAAACTGTTTTGTTGGTTGTGAGCTATCGACCTGTATGAACGCCATCTTTGCTCCTCCACGATGTCACAGACACKAGCAGTGGGAGATCTAGATAAGGCTCACTAGCGTTATTTACCTCTATGAGTAAAACTGACTGGATATCAGGTCTAACGCACCAACTGTATGTAGGTTTTAGAAAACTGAAGTGTGAGACTTCCTTGTCTGTATAAAGTTGTTTTTCTTATTTAATGTAAATGTCTTCCTTACACYGCTCTTGTTCTCTGAGTGCTGTAATCATGAAAGATCCTTTCAAATGAGATGTAGATAATATAACAGCACCACTGTGCACAGGCAGTAAATTATAGAGCTTTTCCTAACATTCTGCTATGAAAATGCCTCAAAAATTGAGTTTAAGGTTTGGAAAAGTGTGGCATTTCAAAATTAAAAATGTCTAGACCACCAGGACACCAAATTTGCCAAAYGTTTTTATTTTTTCAAAGACACAGCTGACATTTAGAACATTAACTTCAGTACAGAAAACAGTAAGAAAGAAATTTGTTCAAGAGCAAACAGTGATGTGAAACAACAAAACTACGTGTTACAGAGTATTTATTTTTACCTTTAAACCCAGTGTACCGWATTCCCCAACAGAACTGTTATTTTAACCCTTTCATGCATTTTTATGGGTAAAATAAAACTGGAAAACAGTTTCTAGTAACTGTTAGGACGTAATTTCATTGAACGTCATCTTTACGTCTCTTTTCTGCTTGTCTGTTGTGTTTCACAGGCTTTGAACAGTGTGCAGTGAAAGTTGTGTACTGAGTCATGCTAATTGTGAAACTGCAGACACTTCCTCCAACGTGGCAGTTCAACAAACTCACTTTTCCAACCGTCAAACTGCAGAACAAGTTGAGGTGTTTGTTGTGTTAACAAAGATAAGACTCATGTTTATGAGGAACAGTAAAACGAGTGAGTTGGTGAACAGCAGTAAYATGAGTAATCAGACATTTAATACATTGGATGAAAACATAGGAAACACATTATTCTGTATAGAAAATCTTCATAAACAGTTCAGCATGGCTGCTTTATTTAAATTTACAGACATATTCCTTTCATTAAAGCTTTTTTTTTAAATTCCTGAACAGTAACTGTCACATCAGTTGCTTTTAGCCAAGAGCTGCTCTGTAAAAAGCTTCTTCAGATGAGCCACCTCCTCACTGAGAGAGCTGAGCTGAGACTTGAGGTAAGTGTTCTCGTGCTGATACTGGACCTCACTTTGTCCGGGCCTGGGAGGAGACTGGTAGTTATAGACGGGGGTGGAAGCCCTGAAATGAGGAGACTGTCTCTCCCTCCTGGCTTCTTCTCCCTCCACCTGCTGAAGCCAGGAGGCGGCGGAGTGTCCCGCTCCGGCTTCCCCTCTGCTCGCTCCTTTGGCCGTGTCTCTCAGACCTTCCTGTCCTGCAGCGGAGAGCGTGGGGCTCCTTCTGTTCTCGCACAGTCCATCGAACCCCTCGCTGCCTCCGGGGGTCTTGAAACGGAGCTTGTGAGGAAGATTCTTCATCGCCTCCATTTGCTCCACCTTGGCCCCGCTGAGGGCTGCATGGTGGACGTCAGCAGGGGAGTGATGGAGGTCATAGCTCAGCTCTTCGGGCCTGTGAGGCGAGAACTTCCCATGATCGCCAGTTCGGTCCTCGAAGAAGATTGGGCTGCCCACGCTGGACCCACCTGGCGTGGAGAAACCAGAGTCCTCTGATATGTTCCCCACCTCCCTGGAGCTCCTAGCTCTCGTGTGGCCCATCTGGTGGCTTGCATGTGGCGCCGGGGAACTCTGGGGGTCTCTGTCCCCTCTGTGTGGGTAATAGTGAGGAGTTATGGTTTGAGCGGTGTGCTGAGGAGCAGCGGTCAGCGGCAGGATTTGAGCTTGGGAGGGATCTTTGACCAGACCAAAGCGAAACTTGAGGGCGAGCAGCTCCGCCCTGAGCCGAGCGTTCTCCTCCAGCAGGGCCAGCACCCGGCTCTCCAGGACCATGTCGTTCACGCGCCGCTTCTCCCGCGAACGCTTGGCCGCCTCGTTGTTCTTCCTCCTCTTGTCCCAGTAGCTGTCGTCCTTCTTCTCCAGAGGGATGAACTCGCGCTTGCGCCGCACGGCGGAGGCGGCGCTCTCTTTGCGCTTGATGGCGGCGGGGCGGCCCAGCAGGGAGCGTGCCAGCAGGTYGCTGGAGGTCAGAATGGTCGCCGCGACGTCTGTGAAGGACGGGGGACCTGCTCCTCCGCTCTCACCCCCACTGGAACCTGGAGAGTCCACCGCAGAGTCCACAACCAGCTCCTGCTGCCTCCTCACCCCCTGAGACTGCTCCTCAAACATCCTCCCCACAGGACTGCCAACGCTTGTTTCCTCTCTGCTGGCAGCTGATCGCACCGCTGTGTGGCGCTGGTGGATCACTGACCTCTCTAAAACYCAGGGAGTAAAAATGAAGCAACAGTGTCACCTAGTGGTAAAAGAAGGAAGGGCAAAAAAAAAAAGGATTTGGTTACGCAAGAGTATTACAACACAGTATTATGTAACCCCATTACATCTCTCCAATGACACATTGAAAACTTATCATCACATTAGCTTCATTATAAAAGCAATAAAAACGATTTCTGTTGGAACCCAGGCTTAAAATGAAGTTTTACTTTAAACACATTATTTCAAATTAATCAATAAATCCTGGATTACAAGGCTATTTATTTTACAGGCAAACTGTAATTTAACTGGAACCTGAGTCACTTATTATCTTGTTCCTGAATTGAGTCAGAATAAAGGGACCGGATCTGGTGAAAYGAGTGTTTCCCGGTCTGACAGCACTGACCCACATGTCTGATCGGTCCCCTCTAACAACCGGATCTGACCCAGTTCTTCTGCTCAGCGCTGGAATCTCACACTGCCGGGAGACCGGCAGCTGGACTCATGGGAATTTAAACAAAACTAAAACAGCCGTCTTTGTTTTTCTTTATAGAAGCCGCAAACTGCGCAAAATACAAAGTAAGCTTGAGGAAACTTTAAACTGAAGATTTTGCTCTAAATGTAACATTTGATTCCAGCGGTGCTTTAAGAAAAAATAAATAAATAAATGTACCTTTGTAAAAATAATGCTTTATCTCCAGAAGACCTCCTCRACACTTATTTCAGTCCCCTCTCCGTCTCTCCTCTTGGTTCAAATGCAGCTCTGCACTTATTTCATATTAGCTCCCGGAGCCTCTGCGCGCCTCCTCTCCTCCTCTCTGCTCCACTTGGAATGCCGCAGCTCCTATTTGTAACGTCGAGTTCAGCTCAGGTCGTTGCCTATCCTCGCCTGAACCAGCGGGGCCCTTTGTGTGTGTGTGTGTGTGTGTGTGTGTGTGTGTGTGCGTGCGTGCGTGCGTGCGTGCGTGTGTGTCAGAGCCCGCCCCTCCCATTCTGAACAACCCCCTGTCTTCCATCCAAAGGGAAAGCTCCTACAACAAACAGGGCATTTCATGCATCATCATCATCTTCATCATCATCATCATCATCATCATCATCATCATCATCATCATCATCATCGTCATCGTCATGCAACCTCCCCGGCCACGCCTCCTCTGATTGGATAATCTTGCTGTAAGAGTTAGATAATTTTGCGTCTCTCTTTGTCACCAAGAGCACATTTAGGCTGCAGAAGCAAAGAAATAAATAAACAGCGTTTGAGAGTCAAAATGCCATCAGGTGGATTAAATACAACCCTTCTGGTAATTTCTGAAGAAACTTTTTATTTATTTATTTTTATTAATCTTTAACCTTGTTCCTCCTGACCTACTGTCCTGCATGTTATAACTGTTCCTGCTTCGCACACCTGATTCAAATAATTAAWTTAMCTACACTCAGAATGTCATCATGTTTAGCAGAAGCCTGTCAATCACTTATTTATTTCAGTCAGGAGTGTTGAAGCACATTTTCTTTTTTGTCCCTTGGCTGCACAGAGTCTACTCTTAAATTCAGACAGGCTTTCAATTAAGTTTTGTTTTCTGTACTTTAAATTGTTCTTGATTATTTATCTGCCATTTTTTTGTTGCTTTCAGTTTATGTTCTCCGTTAAGCACTTTGTCATGTTCATGTGTGAAAGATAAATAAATTTCACTCACTTTTTTCAGGGGACATTGAAAAACCAGGAGTGGCACAGCAAAATTAAAATCCTAACAGCAAATGTGTAAGGGAGTGTAACCCCCCCCCCCCCCCCCCCCCCCCCGTCTTTCGTTGGTTTATCAGCCAATCATTTTTTTGTGCTATTTTAACAGTTAATATATGAAAACATTCAGCTCCTTGAGGACATTATTCCTGTTTTGACTGCTGGTAATTCAGCAATTTCTACTTTTTAAGATATTCAGCTTTTTCAGGCATGTTTTTCCTTGTTAAAAATTAAAGAAGCTGCTTTCAACATCCTTCAAAAATAGTCATAATGTATAAATGTAAGGATATGTGTTTTATTGTTGTTTCTATGTTTTCTCTGTGTCTCCACCCTTCAGTTCTCCTCAGTTTATCAGCTAGTTTCTAGTACATTCTCAGTAAACCATCCTCACCTGTYTTCTATCCCTAATCAGCTCTCCCTCAGCTGCTTGTAATGTCCCCTCTCCTTCAGTTCAGTTCTCTTTTAATCACTGGTTCACTATTTGGCATGTCCAACTGTTCTGTTTCTCCTGGTTGTTTTGGCGTGTTTTTAGAGTGTTTTTCAGTTGCTGCCTCGTCAGCATTTTGCTTTGTTTTTATAATAAACATTCTCATTTTTGTTAAACTTTTACTTCGTCTGGATTTGGGTTCACTCCTTCGCAAAACACGACACATAAATCAAAAAGAAAAAAAATGTGTAGGTCACAAATCTATACTGCACTTTTGACCTTTTGTTCTTTTTTTAACTTCTTTGAGCTCATTTCAACTTCCTTCGGCTTCCTTTTAGTTGATTTKAGCTTTTCTCTGCTCTTTTCAGCTGTCGTTATTTTAGCTTTTTTCTGCTGTTTTACATTTGTTCTGCTTTTTTCAGCTGTTTCCTGTGTTTTTGACACTTTTTAGTTAGTTTGAGCTTTTTTCATCCAAATTCATTTTTTTGTAATAATTCCAGCTTCTTATTGCTTAATTTAGGAAATATGTGCTCTTTCTGTTTTTTTCATTAATTTCAGCCATTTCAGCTACATTTTAAAGCTGGTTTTAGCTTTTTTTTTCAGGTATCCAGTAAAAATGTTTCAGCATTAGGTTTTYACACTGTGTTTTTACAGAAATGGCAAAGTTAATGTTCATTTCTTATGTCTTACTCTAACAAAACCTTTTTGATTTATTATATCTTAGTTGTTCATTTGAGCACAATCAAGCAAATCAGGTAAAAAAGAAAAAAACAATAAAAATGCAATCATTCAACTTTAAAATAAGAAAAGAACACAACAAAAGAGATTTAAATGTATCTCTCGTTCTTTTGCTTTCAACATAACTAAGATATTACCTTATAAACTTTAAACCTGAACTATCATCTAATTCAACTGTATCAAACTTGGTTGTTTGAATGTAAAAATTATTTATTCAAGGTTTTGTTCAAAAAACAAAAAGGGCTCCCTGTCATGTGTGCAAGTGGGGAGACCATGTTAGAAGTCTTTACTACGTAAAATGACTTCTAGATTTCAAACAAACAAAGTGATAAACTTCAACTTGATCAGCTTTTGGTTGCATTAATATGGATCTGAGCTAGCTTGGTGCTCAGTGTCACAGTGATGTAATCCAGTGGTTTCAGATTCAAACACAGGTTGCATCAGGAAAAACATCTGACAAATGTACAACAATCACCAAATTTTCACAAGTTTGCTTGCTGTGGAAGCATCTGAAGATAAAAAAAACATGTTGTTAAAGGTTAACAAAAAAACTTTAAAATCAAGATAAAATAATTAAAACATTCAAACATCCAAAAAATTATAGTTTTAGATCATACATTATAAACTATTAAACAGACTTTGCTTTCTTTCTACCAAAAATTGAAACTCATCAGAAACAAACAAAATGCAAGGGTGGTGTTGAAAGTATATATTTTTCTCTCTGGAATCCTTTTTCAAAAATAATTTGGAATTTTTGGATTTTAGGGCACTAAAATATTGTCTACATGTATGCAATTTTTGTTCTTGTATGAATGACACCTTACTTTTTGTAATAATCTCAGCAGACCAAATGGTTATGTTTGGATATATAAACCGTATAAGAGAAAACTCATTAAAGTTAACTGGTAGTTGCCAACTGTGTAATACTTCATAATCAAGTGCTTCTCTGCAGCCAGCCCTGGAAGACTTGTGACGTTAAAGGGTCAAATAAATGCTTCAAAATAAAGGAAAATCCTGKAGAATAATCTGATGCTRTCAGAAAAAAAMAAAMAAAAACGTTTTAGTCTCTCCCAACTGAGGCTTGTAATTCCTTCACCGGGTTACAAACACCTTGATGGTCTCTCACTGTTTTACTTGCAGTGTCACAGTTTGTGAGGACAGCCTGCCCTTGGTAGAAACATGTCCCATATTCTTCCACYTTTTGGTGGTGGACTCCTGGTGATGTATAGGGCCTCTACAATCCTTTAACAATTATTCATTATGTAAAGAAAAAATTGT